AGAGAGAGAGAGAGAGAGAGAGAGAAACAGAGAGAAACAGATAGAGAGAGAAACAGATAGAGAGATTTATCTCGGAGACTGATTGAAACGGATCAGATGAAACTACAATCCCTCTCTGCTGGCTGCAAGGAGCCTACTTGAAATGACTTTGCGGCACTCTCGGCCTAATTCCTCCAGGATTTGTTTCAATGTGACGGAACCAGCCAGAATAAACAGGAAGTAAAGGCTCAACCTCATACAGAGAGGCTGAAGGCGAACTGGAAAAGGAGACAGGCCATGCTGTGTTCATGCTGGGGTGCAGTGGTGTAGGAGTACGGGTACAATGAAAGCACTGGGAACGTTACCAGGCTAATGCAACAACCTGGACTCATGCATAATGTTTAAATACACAAGTTCAAAAAAAACACCAGACTGCCAGCTGGAGGAATTTAAATTCCTGGAATAAAATTCAAGTCTCATTAGTGGTTACAAAATGACCAGATTATCCTAACAAAAATATGGCTTACTTATGTTCTTTATGGAAGGAAATCAGTTGTCCTTATTTAGTCTTGTTTACAAGTGACTCCAGACCCACAGCAATGCCCCTTTGACCCAGGTGGCCATTTTAGAGAGCAGTTAGTCAGCTACAGGTAATGTTCTGGGGACCTCAGTTCGAATCCTGCCACAGCATATGGTGGCATTTGAATTCAATTTTTAAAAAAAATTCTGGAATTAAGAGTCTAATGATGACCATAAATCCTTTGTCAATTGATAGAAAAACCCATCCGATTCATTAACATCTTCTAGGGAAGAAAACTGCCATCCTTGCTTGGTCTGGCCTACATGTGACTCCAGATCGACAGCAGTGTGGTGCGCTCTGGGCAATTAGGGGATGGGCAATAAATGCTGGCCCAGCCAATGACACCCTCATCCCTGTGAATGAATTAAAACAAAAAAAAACAAGAAAAAAAATATCGGACAACATGGGTGATTTAGTGGTGGCATTAAATGGATGAAAAAATACCCAGTAGGTCACTGGCAATGGGGGAAAAAAAAAGCCATGTGTGACTTCACTTTGGATATTAAAAAAAAAATCAACAACCTTCACATTAATAATAAACCTTCACAATTCAAGAAACACCTAGACAAATACATGAATAAGAAGGACAAATAGAGGGATACAGATGCTGTAAGTGAAGACAGTTTTAGTGTGGAAGGGCAAAATGCATCAGTGCAGGCTTGGAGGGCCGAAGGGCCTGTTCCTGTGCTGTATCGTTCTTTGTTCTTAATCCAACCCTAACAACTGTCCCTTCTTCTGCAAACAGTTTTGTCTGATTTACTCTATCAAGACCATCTCTGATCTTGGACACACACTCTCCAATCTCCTCTTTGCCTTCTCTGCTCTGAGTATAGCCCCAGCTTCTGCAGTCTATCAGTGTAAGTGAAGGCCCTCATTTCTGCTGTCATTCTCTTGAGCCTTCCCTCACTCACAGCGAGGCCTTGACACCTTCCATTAAACGTGGTGCCTAGAACCAAAACCAACGTTCCAGCTGAGGCCTAACTAGTGTTCAATTGAGGTTAGAACGACTCAATTGGTATAACCACACAGTGAGAGTTAACAGACTTGAGAAACAGACCAGAGGATCCGAGCGGAGACAATTTTATGGAGGCTGACTGGCAGGGCTGCTGCACTTCAGCAAAGATCGTTACCGAGAATTTGCCCCTGGATGACTTTCCAGTGACCCCCGACTGGGTGAAAGCAGAGAAACAGCTTTACTAGACTAACAACCTAACGGTGCAAACTAATGCTCCTAAAATAGGAATTCAAATCCCACTGCAGCAGCTAAGGGATTTAAAATAAATTTTAATCAGCAAACCGGGAACACAATGCTAATCTCATTAATGATGAGCACAAAGCTATCGGACTGTTGTTAAAAAAAACCATCTTATTCACAAACGTCCTTGTGGGAAGGAAATCTGCCACCCTTTCCTAGCCTGGCCTATGTGACTCCAGACCCACAGTCAATGTGGTTGAGCCTTTACTATCCTAAAGTAGTCCAGCAAGCTCCAACTGGTGATAGAAGAATGCATTGTTGGGCAAGACCAACACCATATGGATGGCAGCAGTTCAAGACGGCAGCTCAATGCCACCATAGAAGTTAATTAGAGCATCACCTGTAATCAGCAACGCCCATATCTCAAGAATGAATAATTTAATAATTTTTTAAAAATAACACCCCTACCCTTCAGGCACCAAGGGAATTGAGAAGCACACCCTTTTGTAGTGGCATTCATAGACTTTTCGCTCTCTGGCTTTAATCACTGTTCCAGAAGGACTTTCTGACCTTTTTAATTTAGAAGGAATACTCTTCATTGAAATTAACAACAGCTTGCATTTATTTTGAAATTCAATTTCCATAAAACAATACTAATATTTGTACTTTAAACAAAACATTGGGCAACTATTGTGCTGAAAGATGTATAAAGTAAAATTTTAAAAGTCCAAAATGTAAACAAAACCTTACTCCTCACATGTCCTCTGGTGCATTCTCCAATGGCAACACATCTACCAGAGTCCATTTACCTATCAACACACTCTTCTTGTGCAGGATAAACTGTTGCTCCTTTTAAGATTTGGTATTGTTGCAGTTCGGTCTTGATGAGTGCAAGATGGAAAAATTCAAGGGTCAAGTCTCTTGCTTCAGCAATACTCAAGTTCTGTACTACTAAGCGACTACGGGAACTGACTGAAATTGCACTGTGCACGTTACGTGAAGGGTATTTCTGCAGATAAAAGCCATGAAACAAATATGCCGACCTTCACTGCACGGCTATTCAACTTGAGACAAGTCAACGCAGGGATTTGAAAACAGAGGAATTTAAAAGGGAGGCCTCAACAAAACACGAATTAACTTTTTGCAATCCTCTTTATTTTTGCAGGGTCTACCCTTCAATGACACTTGTCTGACTTAAAACCATGCAGGGCAGGAAACACTAGAGATCATCCTTCAACATGGTAGACCAGCAGATATCTGATATAAACATGAATAAGTGATGTTCACTGAAGCTCAAAAGCCACAGATGAAGCTGATAATTTTTCACCTTCGGCTCAGTGACCAAGTCACAAATTGATTAAGTAAAGCTACTCAGTTCCTTTTTACCAGTTTCAAGTCATGGTGATTCAGTTAAAAAAATGATCTTGATGCAACCATTAAAACAGCCAGCAACAACTTATATTTACAAAGCACCTTTAACATCGTGAATGACCTCAAGCCAACTCGGTGTCTGTTAAAGCAGAATATGACACCGAGCTGCACAAGGAGAAATTAGATCAGATGACTGAAAGCTTGGTCAAAGAGGTAGGTTTGAATCAACAGTCTTTAGGATGAAGGCAGGTTAGAGAGGTGGAGAAGTGTAGGGAGGGACTGTCAGAGTGTGGGGCCCAGGCAACTGAAGACACACCCACCAATGGTTGGCAATCAAATTGCAGATGGAACAAATGTTCAAAACCAGAGGAGTATCTCAGAGAGGTTTTCAAGAAGCAGGTATATACAGTTCTAAGGGCTGAATGGATAAAAGAGCTGTGGGGAGGGGGATGAATGTGGGAACAGGGGTCTGAGTTGGATGATCAGCCATGGTCATGCTGAGCAGTGCAGCTGGTCTACTCCTGTTTCTAGTTCCTTTGTTTCCAGGTGGTGGGGACTACAGGGCTGGGGAGACCGAGAGATTTGAAAACAAGGAGGAGAATGCTAAAGTAAGGATATTGCATGACAGGGAGCCAGTGTGCACAGGGGGGAGATGGGCAATAGGACCTGCTGTGAGTGAAGACACAGGCAGCAGAGTATTGCATGAGGTTGAGTCTACAGAGGGTAGAATGTCAGAACTGTCGACTCTGGGAGGTAGTGAGTGCATGAGTGAGGATTTCATGCAGATAAACAGAGATAGGGTAAAGTTGGATAATAATATGGTGGTGGGACTAAGTACTATTAATGATGACACAAATAGGAAGCTTCCTTTGGGTTCAAATATCACTCCAAGGGTAACCAATAACATCCTCTGAGCCTTATACATTTTGACAGTTCACACAGCCAAAGAACTGGGCTCAGGTTGCTGTATGCCATTTATATTTGTTCCTTCATTTTAGAAATTGGTCTCAGGTAAGACGCTTACACTAGAGACTGGCACAGGGGCTCAGTGGTTAGCACTGCTGCCTGATGGCGCCAGGGACCTGGGTTTGATTTCACCTGCGGGTGACTGGCTGTGTGGAGTTTGCACATTCTCCCCGTGTCTGTGTGGGTTTCCTCCCACAGTCCAAAGATGTGCAGGTTAGAGTGGATTGGCCATGCTAAACTGTCCATAGAGTCCACGGATGTGTAGGTTAGGTGGGTTAGCCACAAGGAATGCAGAGCAATGGGGATAGACAGGATGCTTTCGCTCTCTGGCTTTAATCACTGTTCCAGGAGAACTTTCTGGCCTTTTTATTTAGAAGGGTCAGTGTGCAGACTTAATGGGCCGAATGGTCCCTTCCTGCTCTGTAAGGATTCCATAACAAGCCGTTTCCGGTTTTTCTTGCTTATTAATAAACATGGCCTTGCACTTACCAGCATTCAGTTCGCCCCCAAACACGATAGCCTTGGCTCTGGAGATGTTGATGCAGTGTGCCAGTGCGTCCATCCGCAGGTTGAAGTTAATCAGTGCCACCTCCACGCCAAGCTTGGCCATCCCCAACCACAGTCCCACATACTCGCTCCTGCTCTCCATGAACAGCGCCACCACATCGCCGGTGCGGAAGCCCTGCTGGCGGAAACAGTTGGCCACTCGGTTGGAGAACTGGTCCAGGTCCCGGAAGCTCCAGGCAACGCCGGTCCCCTCGAAGATGAGCGCAGTCTTGTCCGGGTGCCTCTGGACAACTTCGTGGAAGATTTTCGGAATCGTCTTGTTCAGTTTCAAGTTCCGCCTCACGTTGAGCTTGACTTTGAGGAGGACACCCGCGGCACTGTAGGAGGAGGCGGCAAAAACAAGAATCAGGAATTTTGAACACAGAGAGCAAACGAGAGAGCGAGCTGAAAGTTCACTCTGTACGTTGACCAACAAATACCCACAACCAGCTTACTCACTTCACGACTGCTCGGGTAACATTGCCCTGCACTATTGGCGCTGGTCTACTTTTCTCCTTGGGGTCATTGAAATCATTTAAAAAATTCACAGGACAAAACAGGCCATTCAGCCTGCTGTCTGTGCTGCTTGACAAAGAGTTACCCAGCCTAACCCCACCCTTCTGCAAAGCGTCAACACGGTGCTGTAAAAGGAAAATGGTGTTTGACAAATTTGGCAAGAGTTCTTTGAGGATGTAACAAGCAGGGTGGATAAGGGAAAACCAACAGACATAACATATTCAGACTTGCAAAAGGCTTTCAATGAGGTGCCAATTTACTGCAGAAGGCAAGAGCCCATGGTGCTGGGGCTCGATGTATTTGCAGGGTTAAAGGTGCTGGCTAACAACAGGAAACCGAGTTAGAACAAGTGGATTGATTCAGGTTGACAAACTCCAACTAGTAAAATGAAAGAAGTGCCACAAATCCAAAATAAAACCAGAGAATGCTGGAGAAACTCAGCAGGTCTGGTAGCATCTATGGAGACAGAAAGAGAGTTAACATTTCAAGTCTAATATAACTGTAATAAAATCATACCAGACATGAAATGTTAACTATTTCTCTCTCCACAGATGCTGCCAGACCTGCAGAGTTTCTCCAGCATTCTCTGGTTTATTTATGTATAACTAGCAGACGGAGTATTCAGTGCTGGGGCCTCCACGATATATGATCGATGTTAATGATCTGGATTAAAGTACAGGCTGAACTGTGGCCAAAATTGGTGATGGTACAAGGACAAGTAGGAAGGCAAGTGGTGATGAAGATACAAGGAGTCCACAGAGAGCTGTTGATTGGTTAAGGGAGTGGAAAAAGAATTGGTCAAATGGACTATTATGTGGAAACATCCAAGATTTTCCACTTTGGTTGTTGGAAAGGTAGACCATTACAAATTGACAGGTTAGAGTTATAAGAAAAGGCTGGGACCAGAGGAGGCTGAGGTGTGACCTTATTAGACGTTTATAAAATCACGAGGGGCATAGATAAGGTGATTAGCAAAGGTCTTTTCCCTAGGGTGGGGGAGTTTAAAACTAGGGAGCATATTTTTAAACATGAGAGGAGGAAGATTCAAAATGGACATGAGGGACAACTTTTATACATAAAGAGTGGTTCATGTGTGGAATGAACTTCCAAAGGAAGTGCTGAATGTGGGTAAAGTTATATTTAAAAGACATTTGGATGTGTACATGAATAAGAAATGTTTGGAGGGATATGGGTTTAACATGCGCAGGTAGGACTAGTTTAGTTTGGGATTATGGTTGACATGGACTAATGGACCAAAAAGTCTGCTTCCATGCTGTAGGACTCGATCAATAGAGAAAGACTACAGAATGCTGCAGGGTAAGTGGGATTTGCATACCCTTGCATGTGAATTACAAAGCATTAGCGTACAGGAAAAGGCAATAGAAGGCAAATGAAATTTACCAGAAGGATTAGAGTATAAAAGGAGGGATGTCTTGCCACAGGGCAGTGGTGACGCTGCACCTCCAGTACTGCGCCCTGTTTCTGTCTCTGTACTTCAGGAAAAACTTGCATTGGAAGCAGTTCAGACAAGTTTCACTGGGATAAAGAGGTTTGTCTTATAAAGGTAAAAGTTGGGCCTATACTCATTGGAGTTTAGTATTGAAACAGAGAAGATTCTGAGGGAGCTTCACAGGATAAATACTTGGTCTCATGGGGGTGATGTGGAACAAGGTAGAGCAGTTCAAATTAAGGGACCTTCCAGTTCCAAGGAATTTCTTCTCTCAGGGCAGGGTTTATCTTTGGAATGCTCTTCCCTAGAGAGTAGAGACAGGGTTGGGTTATTGAATGTCTTCAAGGCCGAGTTAAACAGGTTGTTGATCAACTAGGAAACCAAGAGATTATAGGGGCAACCAGGAAAGTGGAGTTAAGATCACAATCAGATCAGTCGTGATGTCAGCGAATGGCGGAACAGACCTGCGGGGCCCGATAGCCTACACCTTTGGTTTTGTACAATCTGTAGCCCTGCAGGGGACAGTTCTCCTCAATTGGACATTGACGTCCTTTCTGTCTTCCCCCTCCTTGTCAGGCAGTGGCTCCCCAATGACAGTGAAATGAAAAGTTCGCACTTTGACTTTATAATCCTTCAACTAATTTACTTTGAGTGTTTGACCTCTGGATTTTGATTCCTCTGCTAAGGTAAATCGGTGCCACTCCCCCCAGCCCCTTAATTTCTCCCGTCCAGGCCACTCAATTTTATTGGAATTAAAGTTTTAGGCAACAAAGTCACGACTTAGCCTCCTCCACTCATGTGGAAAAGAATAAAAACGTGTTCCTTTTGTGGGATGTGGACATCACTGGCAAGGCTGGCATTTATTCCCCAGCCCTGAAAGCCCTTGAACGGAGTGGTTGGCTCGGCCATTTCAGTGGAGAGCCGACAGCCAATCACAGAGCTGTGGTGTGGGTCAGGCCAGGCAAGAACAGTAGATTTCCTTGCTTCGAGGGCATTAGTGAGCTCAATGAATTTTTACAGTGAATCAATGATAAGTTAATGCTCACCAACACAGAGACGAGCTTGCATTTCCCAGAGATTTTTTTTTTATTAACCAGTTTCAAATTCCACCAGCTGTCATGGTGGGATTTGAACCTGGGTCTCGCAGTTATTTGTGTGTTGATTCTTATCGTGATCAAATGTAGAAAGTTAACAATCACATGTGATGACAAAACATCTACAAAACACAGGGTGGCGCAGTGGCTCAGAGGTTAGCGCTGCTGCCTCTCAGCACCAGGGACCTGGGTTTGATTCCACCCTCAGGCAACTGACTGTGTGGAGTTTGCACATTCTCCCCGTGTCTGCGTGTGGGTTTGCTCCAGTTTCCTCCCACAATCCAAAGATGTGCAGGCTGAGTGGATTAGCCATGAGAAATGCAGGGTAACAGGAATAGGGGGTGGGATGCTCTTTGGAGGCTCATGGCAGACCTGATGGGCTGAATGGCCTCTTTCCACACTGTAGGGATTCTATGATTATTAGGGCAGTCACACTACCACCACCTCCCACCTTCAAGCTTTTCTCATCACCTCCAGCCTTGGCAACACCCTTGTAAATTACTTCTGCACACTCTCCAATGTAAACGTACACAAAATTGCTGCTGGAGTCTAATTAGTGTTTACACAGTACCGGTACATCCTCCCAGTACACAGTACCAGTACATCCACCCTACTCACCATCTGTGCCTCAGCCAAAAGAATAGTTGTTATATGCCTTTTTAAACCATCTTAAAATCGAGCTGTCCCATTGAGGTTAACAGGACGCGCATACATATTCCTTTTCCTCCTGTCTTCTTTCTGATTCCCTGCAACCAGTTAACTGTGATACCATCGTGGGAAAGCAAAGTAACAAAGAAGAAGAAGAGGATGAAAGGAAAGCAAAGGTTTTAGAGGCCAAAAAGGGAGAGGGTGGGAGACAAAGGTACCGTCCAAGGAGCGAGGTGCGAAGGAAACAGTGAGACATCACATTGCACCGACCGAGCAAGACCGTGTAGGAGCAAATTACTGCAGATGCAGAATCTGTACGGAGAAGAAAAATGCTGGAGATCGCAGCGGGTCAGGCAGCTTCCACGGAGAGGGGGTGGGGAGGTAGGGGTGCGAGAGAGAGAAAGCTAACAACTTGAGTCTCGATGACTTTTCATCAGAGCTGGCTTAGCTTGCTCTCTCTCTCCACACAGATGCTGCCTGACCTGGTCCAGCATCTTTTACTTTCACAGTAACACCTCTTTCTCCAACATCAAGATGAAAGGTGTCAGCGGTCATCAATGGGAGATTTCTTTCCCTCAACTTGGCAGCTTCAGATGTTCCCATTCAGGAGAGGGATCATCAGACTCGAAATGTTGACCCTGCTCTCTCCCTCCACAATTACTGCCGAGTTCCTCCTGCAATATCCGCCACTGTTTCTCATACTCCCAGGTTAGATTACACTTTGGGTTAGAGAAGGGGTGATAACCCTTCCAATTTACCTTTCTAAAATCACCTTGTTCACTAGCTGCGGCTCAACTGATCTATTTCCATGCAAACGAAAAGCAAAGGAAAAAAAGAAAATCACACAGGCTGATGTGATGTTGTGCCAGATTGGTCACAAACAATTTACTCATTCCCAAGGAATTCCTCTGTCGTTGGCTTTATTAACAGAGGTGTTAACCTATGTGAAAAAACAACAGGGTAAATTTAGTTTCAAAGGTGTGACCAAATCCAAAGTTTCACGCCCTGTTTGATAGAGAGGAATACGGATCCATGACGAGGGCTTAAAGCCGGAGGAAGGGGAGGGTGTGAAAGCAGAGCTGAGAAACAAGGTTAAAAGCTAGAGTTGTAGTGGGAAACTTTAATTTGATATTTAATGACCCTCAACAAAGATTTATCCCAGTGAGTGCGAAAGAGAACAAAGAACAAAGAACAAAGAAAATTACAGCACAGGAACAGGCCCTTCGGCCCTCCAAGCTGCGCCGATCCAGATCCTCTGTCTAAACCTGTCGCCTATTTTCCAAGGATCTGTATCCCTCTACTTCCTGCCCATTCATGTATCTGTCTAGATACATCTTAAATGACGCTATCGTGCCCGCCTCTACCACCTCCGCTGGCAATGCGTTCCAGGCACCCACCACCCACTGCGTAAAGAACTTTCCACGCCTATCTCCCTTAAACTTTTCTCCTCTCACCTTGAAATCGTGACCCCGAGTAATTGAGTCCCCCACTCTGGGAAAAAGCTTCTTGCTATCCACCCTGTCTGTACCTCTCATGATTTTGTAGACCTCAATCAGGTCCCTCCTCAACCTCCATCTTTCTAATGTAAATAATCCTAATCTACTCAACCTCTCTTCATAGCTAGCGCCCT